AGAGAAAGTGGACATCACTAAGTTATCCCAGTTACCACTGTCAAAACTTTGGTGTGAAGTCTTCCAGGTTTTCCCCCTATTCAAAATATACACTATTTAAGTGGTATTAGAGGCATTACAATTCAGTACTGTCTTAACCTTTTCAAAAGGCCTAAAAGTATGTTGAGCACATCTTTTCATAGCAATAAATTAAAATAGATCTTCCTCCTTGTAATGGCTGCGTAGGACTTTATAGCGTGGCTTTTCTTTGGGGGACGATGGAAATGCTCTACATCTTCACTGTGGCAGAGGTGACGTGGGCGTGTAGGATTCCCAAAGTCCAAGGAGCTGGACGCTTCAAGAGATGCATCTTATTGTATGTAAATCGTGCCTCAGTAAAGCTGGTTTAAAGAATATTATCCCTCTTTGAAATTTGTACTTTCGTTGTGCAAACACAAAACCCTTGTTGTTCTTAAGAGAAACTCCCTGACACATCTGGATGTAGTCATGAGGTCTGCATCTTACTCTTAAAAGGTTTGGCAATTCCGTCATAGCCGTGTGAGGTATTTATATATCCAGAGACAGAGAGACTAAGCAGCTGTGGTGAAATGTTAGCAAAAGATGAAACTAGGTAAAGGATAAAATTAAAAGTTACTTTTTATCTGATAGTATTTTCTTCTATTATAAACGTTGGCAGAAAACCAGGGTAGTATTTGCTGTATCTCCGACTTTGGCCACCAAAACCGCAGGTATCTGCACATCTCATTGCAGTATTGCAGGGAGCTGGAAACATTAGTTATGCTCCTCCCCGCGGGGACACTGTGCTGGTCATTAGACCTGCTCCCAGGTCTGATTGATTAATGTGTTAAGAAATAAAGCATGTATATTATTATCTTAGTATTCTCAATCCTTTATTGTGTTTGATGACAATCATCTTAAATCCAAACTTCATTGTTATTTTTATTAGCAATAGAATTTAACTAATTTTTCTGAAGAAATCGTGTAACAGGCTAGGTACATAAGGAAATTTTGTGAATACTTCTCTTAATAGTAGCAAAAGACTTCCCTCTTCAAACAAATACATTTTAGATACTGATATTTTTAACATCCTCGGGAATTGTAACCATGGGGAAAAGCAGAACTCTTGCGCTTTCTCACATTTGTTTTATGCTTGATGTAATTTTTTTTTTCCTTTTTGTCTTTTTTCGTGACCGGTAACGGGATCGCAACCCTCGCTGTCGCGCCTGTACCGCGCTCAGCCAGTGAGTGGACCGATCTCTATATGCGATCCGAACCCTCCGCGGGAGCGCCGCCCTCTACCGAGTGCGCCACCGGGCCGGCCCTAATTTTTGTTGTAAATATAACAAATGGAGGACAGTTGGAGGCTTCTCGCAGTGAGGGCGGTGGGGTCTCTAAGGGTCCGAATCCGGCTCTGGGGTGGTAAAGGGGTCGCGTGGACTGCAGAGCTCAGTCCTGCGTCTTCTGCCCTTTGCCCTCTGTCCTTACTCCACGACATTCTCTTTTGTTTTCTCGTTTTCTCTTCTGCCCTTTTCTTTTTCTTCCTCTCTCTGCCCTGCTTCCTTCAACACTTTCCCCCATTCGTCCCTGCTTCCTCCGCCCTCTGCTTTCCATCTTGTCCCCGCAGTGTCCGAGCCTTGTGGCCAACACCCGCGGCTGCACGTTTCAGTGGACGCGTCCGTGGGTATAAGACGATCCGAGTCACCTAAGTCAGGTGAGGGACGCGGGCGGCGCGGGACACTGCGCTCTGCAAGGGGAAAGCGCTCCGAGCCCCGCGCTTCCGTCGTTTCAGTGAAAGTCACCGCAGCCTTTGATGACAGTCACACTCGGCTCTTCATTGGTTCCTCACTGAGGACGGCAGGACCCTCGGAGGGTTTTTCCCGGCTTCTTCCTCGCGGCTTTTGGTGCAGGCGGCCGAGCCCGTGTCAAGCAGGACGCCCCGCGGCGCGCACTTCCCTCCCTGGGGTGGCGCCGGGCAGTAGAAGTGTCTTCAGGGACAAGGGGGCAGTGAGGAGGGGCTGGGAGAAACCTTCCCGCCCACCCGCCTCCGCGTCCACCAGGAGGCGGCCCAAAGCCGGTGAGGTTCGGGACCCGCTGCAGCCCCAAGGCCTGGGAGCTCCCACGGACGGCCGGGGCCGCGTGTGCACAGGCGGCAGCTGTAACTGCTGTGACCGCCCCGCGCTGTGACAACCGGGGCCCTCAGTGCCGCTCGCGCCCTCCCCAAGCCCGTCAGAGCCGCCATTCCGTTTCTGTAGCAATGAACAATTTTCGTTTTCTGCCGAGCAGGCTGGGGTGACGGGTGATCTTCCCTCGGCCCAGTCATCTCTGGCCGCGCGGACGTGACAACGCGATGGCACAGGGCGAAGCCCCGCCCGGGCTTATGAAAGCGACCGCGCTGGGTCGTTTCTGTTTCTATTCCTGACACAGCCCTGGCGCCCACGGTCAGTGCGGAGAAAGGCGACCCTGTGCTTGTAAGTCCGGGATCCAAAGGCGAGAGTGGAGGGGGGGGGACGTAGTTTATAAGGCAGAGCAGAAGGGGGTCGACGGGGATGGCTGGAGGGAGCAGGGCTTTGTACAGAAGGAGACCTGGGAGGCTTGGTGGGGGAGGGGCGGGCAGGCCCAGATCCTGGGGAGCGCCCGGACCTGGAGCCCCAGACCACCAGGCCCCCCACCCCACCCCCACCTCCAGAAAGGGCGGGACTGGCTTCATCTCTCCTCGCGATCATCTCCAAATGTCATGGAGCACACCTAGCATATGAGCTGAATGACACAATGTACTGGGGCTGCACACCCAGCAAGTCCTGAAGGAGGTCGATGTGGTGCAGGAAAGGGCTTGGACCAGCTGTCGGGAGAGCTGGGTCCATCTCCCTGTCTGCATCATCACTGCCTTTGTGACCGTTCGCAATGAAAATAGTCTCTCTGAGGTGGGGACAGGACCCCAATTCCTGCTGTGCTCAGTGAATTATGATGATCAAAATAATTAATTAATGCACATGGATGTAAAATCTAAGAAAGGCTCTGTAATGCACCACATTTCCATCCCCAGGAAGGAATAAGATAGGGGTCTCAGGCTAGTAATGGTAAGTATAGTTCAACTTTAAAAAGACATTTGCAGAAGGGACAAAGATGGAATGGGTACAGCCCCTGATCCTGATGCTTCCTGGTCTAATGGGGGATGGTGTAAGGTGGTAGGTGAGGTTCAAGGCAGCACACAGTTGGGACCAAAAGGGAGGTTCAAACCATGGGCTGAGCCAGTGTGTCTGAAACTTGCCTGCTCATTGGAACCACCTAGGGAGCTTTGTTAGACACAGACTTAGATCCAACCTAGGTTTACTGATTCAGTTGTTCTGGGTTGTGGCCTGGGCACACGGATATTAGACACTCTCCAAGTGGTTCTAGTAAGAGCTGAATTGGCTAGATGGTCCAAAGATCAACACATGCATGTTGGGGATGAGGCAAATCTTTCAGTATAAGGAGGTTTTCAGGATGACATTATTGTTATAACTATTATTATTGAGATATAATGCATATAGCACATAATTCACCATTTTAAAGTGCACAGTCAGTGGCTCTTAGCATAATCAGGAGGTTGTGCCACCACCACCACTATCTACTTGGGATGGTTTTAAGGATCTGGAGTGACCTAGTGGGTTGGAAGGCAGAGGTGAGAGTTATCCTGAGGACAGAGACTGCCTGAGCAGTGGCGTACTGGTGGCCCAGGGTAAGGAGCTCTGAGAGTCTGCTTGTACTGCAACCCAGGGGACATGTCACCAGAGAAATAGGGATGAGGCCAGACAACATCAGGTTGTGGCAGCCGTGGGCTTCAATGGTAGAGTAGAGGCCTCCTGTGTTAAATTCAGCAGAGAGGGCAGCTGTGGACAGCATGTAGCATTCAAGTTCTAACTGGGACAGGCACAGTGATGAAGAAGCCTTTGAAGGACTCTAGGCTGAAGGTAGATAAAGCCTCAACTAAGGTGGTGGTTGTGGGATTGGAAAAGGGTCGGAGAAGCCGACTTTGGGTCCATGAGGCAGGGAAAATGGGAAATCATAAAGGACAATGGAGGGTGATGTTGGAGAACTAGGGGAGGGGAGAGGCTGGTGTGGTGGAAGAGGCGTGGAGTGTCCTTGTAAACCTGTTGGATTTGAGGTGCAAATGAGCCCAGAGGCACAGATGTCCTAAGACAGGGGGGGGGGGGGGTTCTGGAGAGAACTCTCTGTTGAAGTGGACTGTGTGGAGCGACATCTCTAGACTGAATACGGAAGCCGCCCTGGCAGAGCTGAGACAGTGACAGGATGTGGCCACAAGAAAGGAGACCTGGCTAAATCTTGGCATCAGTTGGAGGGGGGGATGATTATAGAGGCTAAACCATCTAAGAGAGTTTGGAGTCTGAGCGATTCAGATGCAGAAAGTGTTTCTGAGAGGCAGAGGTGGCTGCAATCTGCAAATCTGGTCACCAGTCACATCGCTAGTAATGCTGTGCGTGGTTGAGGGGGGAGTGTTGGGAGAGTAACAAGGCGATGTCTCTTCTCCATGTTTGTCCTTGAAGTAACGAGCCAGTGAGCGCAGGCCGGAGGAGTGGGCGGCTAAAGGAACTTGGGGAGACCTGCGCTAGTCCGGGGTGCAGGTGGGAGTGGGATAGTCGCGGACTTGGGGGAGGAAGGCTGTGATCTGGGCGTCCTCCTGAGGTTGGGGCTGTAACACTCAGCCTGTCCCTGCGGCACCTGGTTGGACTCGCCCGCCTGACCTACTCAGAGGATCCTAAGTCGCAGGCTTTTCCAGCCTCTCCACCTTTCCTAGGAGCTAGTTACAGCCTGAAAAACTTCCCTGGACTCGGGGCCACCAGAGATTTCCTTTTCCTCCCTGCTCACGATTGGCCCGAGTCTAGTGAGTGGCTGGGGGCGCTGCCAGGCGGAAGTGAATTCATTACGGGCCTTTCCCGCTCTGACCACTCTGATTGTCCCTCGCTGCTCGCTCTGGTGAGATGGCAGCGCAGTTGGTGACCATGGGGGTGTCGCACGCCCTGCTGTTCCTGGCCCGCGCTGCCCTTTTTGCAGTCCTGGATGTCGCCGCTGGTGAGTGCGATTCTCTGCCACCCGCGGCCCGGCCAGGGGTCCGGCTGGGTTTCCCTGAGTGTCGCTCGAAGCGTCTCCCTGCTGGGACGGGTTCTCGCGTCGTGTCTGAAGTGGGTTGGGGGAGTCGGGGTCAGGTGACAGTGAGTTAATTACCCTGATCTTGCGGGTGACTCAGCTAGTCGACCACTGCGCCGGCCGGCACGACGGTGATGAAGTTGGGGCTGCGACATGTCCGGCTGTTCTGGCCGCCGCTGCCCTTTTTACAGCCCTGGGTGCCGCCGCTGGTGAGTGGGTTCCTTGCGGTCCAGGGCCAAGGATTCTCCCTGTGACTTCTCATGTCCACCCTCATTGTCCCCTGGCCTCCTGCTCCCTGGGGCCTCTCCCTCTCCCCCACCCCCACCCTAATGTTACCTCTCATGATGTAATATGCCCTGTACTCGCATCAGATTCTCTCCTCGCCTTCTCCCCTGCCCACCTCACACGCCTCCTAGTCCTGTTGCCCTCCCCTCCCTGCTATCCCCTCCTTTCTCACCCCTCATCCCCTCCCTCCTCCACTGCAGGTCCCTCCATCTCCCCTTATGAGCCACTGCCTACAAGGAGGCTTCACCCAGTGCTGTCCCTATGTCACCCCCTCCCAGCTTCCCTTAACCCTAACTTTCTGATGGTGCCTTGTGTCCAGGGGTCTTCCCTCCACCCCCACTCCCGTCCAACCCTCACAAGGGGTGCCCTGGTGCTGATGAGAACTGGGCCTTAAGCACAGCACAGGGCAGTGCCCCTCCCCGCCCTCCCTCCAGTGCAGGTGCCTGCTCTGCCCTGCCTCACCAGCCCCTTCCCACTCCTTCACTCTGAGCCTCACCCTCCTGGGGCCTCCACTCTCCAGCCCACAGGTGCTGGACTCCCACTCACCCTGGTCCCTCTCACCTCTCCCCCTGTGGGGCCTTGTCCTGCGCCCACCCTTGTCCACCTGCCTGGGTTCCCTCTTCTCTGACCAGCACCTCCCACCCCTTTCTAATTTATGTTATTCTGTGGTGCACCACACCAGTTCTTATTTTGTTTTTTAATTGTGATAACATAAATATAACTTTTACTGTTTTAACCATTTTTAAGTGTACAGCTCAGTGTCCCTAAGTACATTCACATTTTTGTGCAACCCAAAACTCTACACGTTAATCAGTAAGTCCCCGTTCTCCCTACCCCCACCCCTGGTGACCACCATTCTACTGCCTGTCTTTATGAATCTGACTAGTCCAGGTCCCTCCTCTAAGTGGAATCATATAATATTTGTCTTGTTGTTTCTGGCTTATTTTACTTCTAATGTTCCAGGTTCATTCATGTTGTAGCACATGTCAGAATGTTTTTCCTTTTAATGTTGAATAATACTCATTACATGTATATACCACGTTTTGACTATTCATTCATCAGCTGATGGACTCGGGTTACTTACACCTTTTGGCTCTTGGGAATAATGTTGCTATGAACATGGGTGTACAAACAGCTCTTTAATTCTCTGCTTCCAGTCCTTTGGGGCATATGACTGGAAGTAGAATTGCTGGATCATACAGTAATCCTATTTTTAATCTTTAGAGTAACCACGATAATGTTTTCTATAGGGGTGTCCCATATTATATTTCCAAAAGCAGTACACCTGGGTTCCGGTTTCTCCGCATCCTTGCTATTTTTGTGGGGTGTGTTTATACACACACACACACACACACACACACACACACACACGATAGTCATTCTAATGGGGGTGAAGGGGTATCACATTATGGTTTTGATTTGCATTTCCCTAATGACTACTGGTGTTCAGCATCTTCTCATGTGCTTATTGGCCATTTGTATGTCTTCCTGGAAAATTGTCTGTTCAAGTCCTTTGCCTATTTTTGAATGGGTTGGCTGTTTCGTTTTAGAGTTATAGGAGTTCTTAATATTATCTGGATATTAATCTCTTATCAGGTACATGATTTATGAATGTTTTCTCCCATTTCAAGGGTTGCCTTTTCACCCAGTTGACTGTGTTCTTTGATGCACAAATGCTTTCATTTTGATGAGCTCAGTGTATCATTTATTTTTCTTTTTGTGTGTGCTTTGGTCTCATATTTATGAAAGTATTGCCAAATCCTACCTCATGAAGATTATCCCCAATGTTTTTTTCTAAGAGTTTTATAGTTTTTGGTCTTGAGTTTAGGTCTTTGATTCATGTTGAGTTAATTTCTGTATCTGGTGTAAGTCAAGGGTCCAACTTCATTTTTATGAATATGTAGTCATAGTTTTCCCAGCCCCACTCACTGAAAAGATGCACTGACTTTTTGAAAACCCTCCACCTGCCCATCTTTGAGACACTAGCAGGTCCATCCACCTCTCCTCCTGGGTCTTTGACATGTTACTCTTCTAATTTGGACCCGAGCCCACACCTTTGCTTCCACCTGGGACACTGAGCCCACCCTGAACTCCTCACCCTGAACTCCTTTGGGCCCGCAACACTCCTGCCCCTCCTGCCCCTCCCGCCTCACTGCATGGCCTCCCTTGCCCCCACCTTGTCCATGATGAGCCTTTGCCAGAGGCTGCTGCCCTCACTGTCCACCACACCCTGCCCTGCATCTGCACCACGGCCCCTCTGACTATGGATCCCTCTGTCCTGGGCCCTTCACGTCCCCTCCCCTCTGGCAAGACCTTCCTGCTACACTGGCCTCCCTGCTCCTCCCTTGCTCCTGCAGGCCAGCCTGTCCCCTTGTCGTCCTGCCTGCTCCCTGAGGGAGCATGTGCCATCCTGTTCTGATCCCCAGACTACATGGTTCCCTTCTCCATTCTTCAGTTCCCCTCTTCTTCCTTCCTCCTTTTCTATTTTCCTTGTGTTGGCGATCATCGCTCTTGCCCCTGTGTCCATGTGCATTTTCTGCATCCTCAGGAAGGTCAGCACAGCAGAACCTGTGTGTTAAACACTGACATGCAGCTGCTTCCAGGAGGAAGTTTCATCTGTGCTTTATTCTCCCCCAGGCCCCCACAGACTTTGTTATAACCTCACGGTGGCATCCCAAGATGCGAGGTTTGTTGTTGAGGGACGCCTGGATGGTCAGCTCTTCCTGCACTATGACAGCGAAAGAGGCAGGGCAGAGCCCCAGGGGCCGTGGGCAGAAGCAGTCCTGGGAGCTGAGACCTGGGACACAGAGACCAAGGACTTGACAGAGATCGGAAAGGAACTCCGAGTGACCCTGGCACAAATCATAGCTCTGCAGGGCCAGAAAGGAGGTAAGAGTGGGCGAGTGATGTGAGGCCTTTTCTGGGACAGAGGGGGTAGAAAGCTGAGCCCAGTCTCTTCCCACTGGGTTTGGCTAGGGGAGGGGGCTCTGGAGAGCAGTGAGCTGGTATTCAGCAGTCAGGAGACAGGGAGGAAAGCCAAGGAGGGGCCGTCCCCAGGCTAGAGATTCTCACTTGGGGGAGAAGGCGGGGGAGGGATGGCATGGAATGGAGAAGTCACTGCTGGGTTGGGGCAGTCTCACATTCCCTCCAGGAGGAACGAGGCTGTGAGATCCCAGGAGGCAGCAGCGCCATGGGCTTCAGGCATTTCTACTATGATGGGGAGCCCTTCCTCTCCTACAACCCGAAGACACGGACATGGAAAGTGGCTCAGTCCTCAGCTCAGACCTTGGCTGTGGAAGTCAAGAAGTCCTGGGACACAGATGGCATTCAGAGCAAGGATTACTGGGCCCGTGTGCATGGAGAACTTTGTAGACGACTCCAGAGATATCTGGACTCCTGGATGGACCTCAAGGAGAGAGCAGGTACTCTGGGCAGAGGCCTTTTCCTCTCCAGTTCCCTGGAGCTCCCCTTTCCCCCAACTGTGCTCAAGGAGCCCTCCCTGTGCTAAGGGTCGCATGCATGTTTTGTTGGTGTGCTGTACTCAGAGCCCCTGGGTAAAGAAAGGGGGTCGGGGAAAGAACTGTCCCTGTATCATACTCCGGGATAGCAGTGGGCCCTCCAACAGCAGCCTGAACCTGGGGAGGTGGGTGTTAGGCAGGAGAGGGGGTCCTCAGACACAGGGCCTGTCCCACCTGCCTCCCAGCCTGTCTGTCATGGAGAGTTCCCTCCTGGCCCCAGGCCCCAGGACCTACCCCTACCATCCCCTGCTCAGCATCAACATGGGGATCCCAGAGCGTGAAGCCACCCTGCTGAGGCCATCCTCCTGCCAGTCTGGAGGAATTAGGCCGCAGGGTGAGGACAGACTCACACAAGGTCTGGGGGTCAGTGAGGGCCTCAGGCAGAGTGGGAAGATGGAGAGGACCTGCCCTGGGCCTCCTTCAGGGGCAGGGCTTCGCCATGGGCCTCACTGGCTCTGTCCTTTCCTCTCCAGTGTCTCCAGCAGTGAATGTGACCCCCAGCAAGGCCTTGAAGGGCCGCGTTACCCTGCCTGATGTGAATGGGACCTACCAGTCCTGGGTGACCACCAAGATTCCCCAAGAAGAGAAACAGAGGTTCACTGGCCACATGGGACACAATGGGAGTCACAGCACTCCTCCTGTGCCCTCTGGTGAGCCCAGGGCACCCCTGGAGGGATTCCCACCTGGGTAGGGTCAGAGGCGGGGACGGGGGAGGAGAAGAGGCTGGTGGCTGCGGGAGTCCAGTGTATAATGAGGCCTTTTTACAGGGAAGGCCTCAGTGCTTGAGATGATATGGCCGGCAATGCCTGTGGTGGCTGCTGTTGCTGCTGCTGTTCTTATTTACGTTTGACTGTGCAAGAAGAAGACAATGTCAGCTGCACAGGGTCCAGGTGAGAAAAGGGGGCAGTGGCTGGAGATGGGAAGGGCCCTGTCTGGGCAGCAGGTTCCTCTCAGACCTCCGGCTGTACAGGCAGGAATGTGGGTGACGAACCTTCTGCAGCAGGGAGTGAAAGCTGGGGTATTTGTGAGGAAAATGGGAGCCACATGTCCATTGACACCCAGAGTCCTGCCAAAAGCCAGGGCCAGGCAAGGCCCTCAAGTGTCCAGCTGTGGCCTCCCTCGCTGTGGGTGAGGCGTGAGTGGCAGTGGGGGCTGCGGCTCCTGCTCTGCTGCGTCCCCTGCTATCTGTCTCTCAGCGCTCAGGGCTCACCCAGGTAGCTGTGGTGGGATCATGTGCTGACTGGCAAGGCCTGGATGATTGTGGCCTCAGAGGGACAAGCGGTAAAAGCCTCTGTGATGTGGGGGCGGGGTGAGGAACTGGAGAGGATCTGACCAGAAGAGATGTCCTCAGTCCCTCCCTGTCTGCGTCCCTCCCCCAGCTTCTGCAGCCATCCTGAGGACACCAAGAAAAAGACCCATTGTGAGGCCCACACTAGAGGTCACTAATGGCAGAAGAGCCCCTGCCCAGGAAGCCCCTTGGGAGGCCCCACATATGACAGGCGATGGTCCTGAGCACACAAGGGCCTCCTCTGTCCTCTGTGCAGCTCCTCAAGCGCCTCCTCCAGGAGCTGTCTCCTGAGTGTGGCTCCTCTGGTCACTCGTGGCCTGTGCTCTTCCCAGGTTCCCACCACATGCTCTTGCCTTCTGCACGTACCCTGCAGATAACACAGGAGACTAGATCCGCAGATGTCCCCGGACCATTTGGGGAGAGTGACCAGCCTATTGTCAAGGCAGCTGTGGTCACTGTTCTTATCCTACCTCTGCGTTTTTCCTTGTCCAGCCCTTCAGGGACACAGTACCCAGGAGCTGTGTATTTTGGGGCATTTGCTCTGTGGCCCCACATTGTCCTCCCTGAGCCAATTCTCCTTTCTGAAGGTGGCCACTGCCCGGTAAATTTGAAGTAAGGGATGGCCAGTGTGATTCCTCCATTATCAGGTTGCTTGAGGGGAGAGGAAAAGAGAAAATGGGAGGTTTTGTGTTTTACCAAAGGCAATGCATGGGACAGTGGAAGGCTGGTGTCCAGGAGACCAGGGTCTTTCTCTTGTGTCCCCCACTTCATGTGACCCACAAGGGAGGGTAGGTTTCATCCTTGAACTTACCCACTGTCACTCTGCCCCTCAGTCCTGGGCAGCCTGGGACATTCCTCACCTGCCCCACAGCTAGGGGCCCATCCAGGGGGCACCCACAGCGGGGCAGAGCAGGGCTGCTGCTGTTCCTGCCCTCCCCTGCAGCGTCTCCCTTAGAGGGAATGGCAGTTCTGGCTTCTGTGGGCTGGGACAGCTGCATCGTACGTCCCTGGGGCATTGGCGTGAAAAAGGTATATAAGTCATGTGCTTGATTCTCAAATTTCCTGCTTTAAATGTTGATGTCCAATAGAAATGTTCATGATTTCAGGTGGATTGTCTTAATAGGATTTCCTCCAATACCGATGTCATGAATGTCATAGCACATGAAGCAGGGTTTCAAATTTGCAGATCCCTCTCTAGGAGGCTGCCTGTGGGAGATGGTGGGTGGATGGCAGTGGCAAGCCCGGGGGAGGGCTGGGAGCTGAGGGAGAGAGGGACTGTGTGTGACCCACCCCCGGCCTGGAAGGACACGAGCCAGGACCTCTCTTTGGGTAGGCCTCCCACTGTGTGGAGAGCAGGAGAGGACACTGGCTCCCACTCACTCCGGGGCTCGTCCTTCAGCCCTGCAGCCCTTTCACCCCCTGTGTGGTGGGTGTTGGAAGCAGGGAGGTGACGATGTTGATGCAGTCACAGGAAGAGACTGGCACGGGCTGGGACAGTGGGATGGGGGAGAAAAAAGTGGGGACGTCATCTTTCTCAGAGAAAGGCAGAATGTGATTCTGTAGTGACTGAGGAGGGATAAGTGCTGGGGGAATAAAGAGCGATATTTTCCCACCAGTTGAACGTCTACTGGTTTCTCTTTTTCCTCACAGCTCGAGAGCCTCTGAGTCCTGGAGCAACAGCAGGTGCAGCCAAGAGCCCACAGAGGCGCCGCGCTGCTGGGACTCCAGCCTCTGGGGTCAGCTCCTGGGTCCCCCGGTTCACCTGAGGAAGCATCAGCTGTGTCCAGGCGGCCTGGATTCAGCTCCCTGCCGGGTCTAACCAGCATTTTCTCTCTTGGTGCCTTAGTTTCCTCATCTATAAAATGGAGAAGATAATAGCATTTATCTGTCATTGTGGTTGGAGGATGAGAGTGTTAATTTAATATTTATGAGATGTTTGCAGCTGTCCCGTATTAATTATTATCACTGTTTTTGTTTTATCTTGTAATATATTCCATGTGTAGTGACTGTATATGGTAAATGAGCCTGATCTGTGTCATTACTGTGGCCCCTCCTGAGGAGCCTAATATTGGCCTACTTCGCACCTTGAGTTCCCTTACCCCTGTCAGACTCCCACACATGACTTCCTGTCTACCGGGCCTGCACAGTTTTATACTATAAATGTTGAAGTGTTCTTTAAAATGCCCATCTGGTCTGTGTTTTATTTCCCGTAGCTGGGAAGGGACAGAGTTTGAGGTTTCGGGGGAGAAGAGTCTGTCTGAATGTCTTGATGCAGCACGAAAATTCCCCCTCCATCCCTCCAGCTCCCAGTGACAGAAATTCCCAGCAAAGCAGAAGGGGTGTGACAGGATGAAAGGTGACATCTGTGGCTTCCGTGTAGGGACTGACCCTATGGAGGAACATCTGCCTAAGGAGCTGGAGCCCTCAGGCACTAAAGTGAAGCTGACATGTGGCATCAGGGGAGGGGACAGGGACAGTGCTTTGGGGCTTCCTGATGATAGGCTGTAGTGGTCAGTCTGCTTCTGGGGTGAAGTGACTGCTGGGAGGTGCGGTCTGAGCTGATGAAGAATAAATGAACAGGGAACATGGATGAGTGAAGCAGGCACCAGCCTCTCCCGTCATCAGTGCAGAGGGATCTGGACAAGGGAGGCGGGAGGTGACACTTCCCACCTGGCTGTCCTCCTCCCTGTGGTCTTGGGGCTCACAGATGGGGTGCTCTTCTTGGTCAGGTCAACCTGGGCCCCACCAGGAAAGGCAGTGGTGGCAGAGGGCATTAGGGGCATCTGTGCAACAGACTCAAGGCAGGGGTGGGAGCCCTCTGTGCAGCAGGACTGGATGCAGGACCTGCTGGAGGCAAGAGGAAGAGGAGGGACCCTGGTTGGGTCCTGTTCCCTACGCGCCTGAATTCACACAGAGGCAGTAAGGGAGTTGGGGGAGAGAGTTCATTCATGCATCATTATCCAAGATGCATTTATTGACATAGTCTTACATGTTTTTATTCAGAGTTGATGTCATTCACACATTAGTGCACGTGTGTTATATGCTCAAGCATCTTTTAGTATTGTTGGAGTGAGCAGGACTGAAGCCATGTTGGGCCCTAAAGCTGCCTGGGCTGCAGAGGCGGGGAGGATTTTAAAAATGACAGGTTTTTTTCTCTCCACTCCTTCTTCCCATCCCCTCACTTTCTCATCTCACTTGCTAAGTAGGAAATCAAGGCCGAGAAGCTACTTAGTACTCTGCAAAGCTAACAGTTCTTTGAGACTTGTAGAGTTTTGAGAAACGATCAAGGCAAAACAACTGAAGCTGACCTTGGGCACCAGCCAAGTACACTGGTGCAAATCAAAATCTTGCAGGGTCCTGAGATAACAGTGAAGATGAAAACAGAGACCAGATGAGGCCTTGGCGAGACCTTGTACCTGACACATAGAAAAGGAGCCCTCACAACTCACATCTCCTGCTCTCCTGCTTTTCACCTCCCACATTCCATTCCCTCACCCCTTCCTTTAAAAACCCCTCAGTAAATGTAAATCTTTGAGATGGGACAGCCTTCCATCTCCTTCAGCTGAATACATCTGCTTTTCTAACACCAACCATTTGACTTCTAAGGGTTTTTTCTTCTCAAGCGTGCAGGCAGCCGGACCTGAGTCCAGTAACAGTATTTAAGTTAACCTTTAAGTGTCATGTGTTCTTCTCAATTGTCATCAGGAATAAACATCCATAGTCATTACATTTTTTGTTTTTATTTTAGCAAAGTTACAATTGCCCATATGTGAAAGAATCGAATATTTTTGTAAGACTTCTTATGAAAAGTCAGTAGTTCTCTCTGCCTCTTCTCAATTTCTGTTTCTTAGAGGCAACCACTTTGAACATCTTTAGCTGATTCTTTTGACTTTTTCTTCCATATCTCTAAATACAATGCCTTCGTTAATGCTGCATGATTTTTCAGTGCAGCCATTGTCTGCTGCATCACACGACAGCTGCTGCAATGGTTGACAGTAACTGTTCTCTGTCCCTCTTCCCATTCCTCCTTCTTCCCAATACATTTATAGTAGTTATGTTAGCTCAGTCATTCACTGTTTCTTTTTCCATGACTAATCCTCTCACATGTAAACTTCATTACTTTTCACTTTCTGCACACTTGTTCTTCCTGAAGTTGGAACTTTCCTTTGTTTTTGTTTGATTGTTTCCTATGTAGTTCTCATTAATTTAACTGTGATATTATTTGTATGACTTTCAAGAAGTTAGGAGACTTTGGATATTCTGTTGACTTTACCGTCTTGGAAATATCCCTCCTGGGCCCTCTTGACATGCTCCCATCTGGACTGGAGGCTTCTACACCTGGAGCAGAGCCGCCATCCTGGGATCGCCCTCCACCACCTGGGGCAGCGCTTCACATGCAGTGGAGCCACCTGGGGATCTTGCAGGTGAACCGACTGATTCAAGATGTGCAGGCTGGGCCTGCAAGCCTGCCTTTCTATGCAGCCTCCTGTGATGCAGACTCTGCTGGTCCGTGGGTGATCGCTGGGGTAACAAGGATCTTCCCCTTTGTTTCTCTCCTGTGTTGTATCTCCAGCTTTTTGTACTTACACCATTTTTTCATGGTAGCATATACTAATACATTTTAAATTAATGTGTTTCCTTCCTCAATTAGTAACAGTTAATTATTTTTATTATAGGAAAAAACATAACAAAATTTACCATCATAATCATTTTTAAGTATACAGTACCAAAGTGTTAACTATGAGCACATTGTTGTACAAGGTGCCCTAGAACTTTTCATCTTGCAAAACCGAAACTCTGTGTCCGTTGAACACAAATTCCTTTCCCTTTTCCACAACTCCTGGCAACTACCATCCCACTTTCAGGTAAGACTTTGACTACTTTAGACACTTCATATAAGAGGAATCATGCAGAGTGTGTGTGTATGTGTGTGTGTGTGTGTGTGTGTGTGTGTCTTATTTTCCAAAGTAATATCCTCAAGGTTCATCCATGTTCTCACACATAATGGAATTTCCTTCTAAGGCTTAACAATGTTGTATGTATACACCATGTTTTCTTGATCTATTCATCTCTTGGTGGACATTTAGGTTGCTTCCATATCTTGGCTATGGTGAATAGTGCTGTTATAAACATGGGTGTGCAAACTTTCTTTTTTTACGCCTTCCCTTATTTAGTGGAATTATTCTTTTAGTAGCTTCTGAGAGCATATGTTTAAGATATGATTGCATGTTTCAAAGCATCCGTTATTTTTTTTGCTTCATAGCTGGGCTGAGTGGAATATTCTATGCCAGAGATTTCCTCTCTGAATTTTGAAGGCCTTGCTCCATGATTTTCTTTTTCTTTTTTGATGGCTAGCTGGTATGGGGATCTGAACCCTTGACCTTGTTTTTATTTCTTTTCTTGAAGAAGCATAAAGAGGACACAGAAATTTTAAGTGTAAAGGGCCATTTCAGTATTCTCTGCAGGTTCGGGGACATGATAGAGATTCACAGAGATTGCTATTATATTTGTTGCTGAGATAATTGACATTTGGAGGAAAAAGGAAACTTTGCATATGGGAGTGGAGGTGAGAAGCAACCAGATCACCAAGAAATGAGATGGTGGGATTCAGATTTCCCTAGCTAACAAACTTGGGATTTTTTGCACCCTCCTCTCCCTCTTTCCACCAACCCAGCAGCAATCCACGTGAGGGCCTGGGGCTCTTAGTCATTGACCTCATCCTATATTCTTCCTCCACGGAGAAGGAGAGAGCAGCCACTGAGTGTCAGAGGACAGCCATCTTCAGCTCATTCTAGAATACCAAAGTGATGATGTTTCAGAACACTCTGCTTTTTGTTCCTTTTTCCCCTAACTTGATTTGTGACAAAAAGAGTTTCACTTTCCTGGTCAGGCATGATGATTCCTTTCTGAGCTATCACAAGATGCAAGGACCAAAGGTGATGGAGTGGAGGAAGGGGTAAGGCTGTGGTGGTCAGCACGGGCATGGCTTTGCAGGAAACCTCTCCTCATTCTCCCAAAGACCAGCTTTGCAAAGAATTTCCACTTGTCCACCTACTTCTCTGCCCTCCCACACCTGCCTGAGCTCTGTGTGTCCCTGCTCTGGGGTTTCATGGGAGCTCTTGCTGTTGCCACATCCCTGGAGGTGCCGGCAAAGAGGAACCGAGCACACTAGAGAATCTCAATCCCAACTCTTTGTAATTGCATAGGGGATGTCTGCTGTTTGTTCACATATACTTTCCCAGAAATCATTATTCAGCAAATGTCTGTGTCCATGCTTTTGGAAGACTTAGGAAAAATCCCACAGTGGGGGTGGGAGGTGATTTGCATCCCTTCTGATTGAGATAGGAGGTGCTCAGTTTCCCTGAGGTTGGGGTTCAGGCCCCTCCCCTGGGTCTTGAACCATTGCCCTAGGACTCAGGCCTCTCCTCTGAGTCCTGAGCTACTGTTGCTTGTTGTACCTATTTTCACACCAACTTGTAGAGTTTGAGACTCCAGGAGGCAGATTTATGTAATCCCAGTGGCTGAGCATGCTCAGTAAAAAGGAGTTTAGTCTCTTGAGTGACCTTCCACTGGAGGTGCTAGAGAGCATATTTTAAGTGTTTGTTGAAATTTAAGTAATGAGCATGCTCCAAAGAGACCAACCAAGCATGTGCAAGCCTAGGTTACACGATCTGTTACATAACCGAGCCCACCCCCTTAGTTAACTATTCATTAGATAGCATGAATATGTATAGATAGCCAAACTGTAAAAGTGGAATTCAGGAAGAAGACAGGGCTGCTCACTCTCTCTGGGGCCACCCTGCACTTTACCAGTGAGGTGTGTATTTCTTACCTTTGTGTTAACGCTGCCTTAAGCAAGCTGCTGCTCACTCTCTCAAGCTAGCCTGCACTTTGTCTGAAACATCTATTTCTTAACTGTTGTATTAAACTTGCCATGGCTGCCACTTATTCTCTGGAGCCAGCCTGCACTTTCCCTGTGAAGTGTGTATTTCTTATTCTTTACATTAAACTCGTTTTTGCTTTCCACTCTAACTCTGCTCTTGAATTCTTCCTTGTGGCAGAGTCAAGACCCTGGTAGTGGACGGGGTGGGTTGCGGTCAGCTATCCAACCTCCCCAGACCCTCTCCTCTGGTAGCATGACTGTCCTGTGAAATCTCTTTTCTTTTGCAAAGCCAGTGAGAT